CTCCCCCTCCCCCCCACGCTTTGTCACACTGAGAAGCCATGATATGCTGGTGCCCTGCCCATGCCATTAACCCTCACTTTGACCCACAGCCCCTGGCCCTGCCACTGCCCCTCACTCTCAGCCTACAGCCCTGCATCCCCCCAGCCCTTTTGATGCCCCTCACTCATGACCCACAGTCTCCTGCCCCCTGCCTCCCCCAGCCCTGCTGGAGGGGCCCCCGGCTGCCAGAGCTATGGGACCAGGACCAGGGCAGGCAGCCTTCCTCTTCCCCCCAGCAATGCCCAAGCCCTGGCTGCTGCCCACAGGAGGGAGGCAGTGGCTGCTGCAGCTGCAGCAGAGTGCAGAGTCCAGCTCCCCCCATCCCTATGGGTGGCACAGCCAAAGTGGAGCCCGTGGGGGCAGTGAGGTTGCAGGCTGCCTGCTGTAGTCTCCCTATCCTGCAGCCCCTCCTGTTGCCCTCTAGACAAGCTGCCTGTGACTGTCCTGCTCCCCCAACTGGGTCCCACAGCCATGCATTCTTGCCCTGGCCCCAGTTCCCACACAGGACTGTGGCTGCGCAGTACCCCCAGCTCCAGCCCAGCCCCACTCCCTCCCTCAAAGTGGGGGCCTCAGTGTGCCCTCCGCCTCTCCCCCAACCATAGACTTACCTGCAGGAAGCTGCAAGAACTGTTTTTTGCTCTCCATGCTGCCACATGCATGTGTGTGTGTACACATGTATGTGACACCCCCTGCCAGATTGCCCTACTCCTGCCTTCCCCCAGCCTCAGGCAGCCCCTTGCAGGCTGGGACTCTGCCAACCTGCATGGGGAAACCTCCTGTTTCCCACATTTTTCTTTAAAGGAGAAAATCAACATTTTTTTCCATGATGAATGGAAAACCCAGATCCCTACCCATGAGAGAAGGGGTTTTTGTTCTGATTCTATGCATGGTCTCAGTGCTTCAGACACTTGAATGCAAGCATCAGTTCAAGTACCTGTTTGATTTCCACAGGAGTACCCATGAGCTTAGTTTGCAGTGGGCGTAAATTATTTGTAGGATCATGGCCTAAATCAGAAAGTTTTCCCGTATTACGCCAGTCCACCCAACCTGATCACTATGGCCAAATTTACTCTTTATGTAAATAGCAACATGTATATGACCCAGCTCCATCTTCCCTTTGAGATATCTTGATGTGTTTTTACAGAGCCTCAGCCTGTTGTGCAGTATTTATGCCTTGTGGTCTTGTTTTTCATTAGACCCTGAGCAAGTCTGAAGACTTTCAATCTGCTGTTTTCAAGCTGGCTGGCACTCCGATCATTGCAGATGTTTATTACATTGTGGGAGGGACTGTGGCCAAAGAAGGTGTGGTCATAACAAGAAATAGAGAGGGTCCAGCAGACATCTGGCCTCTTGATCCCTTAGATGGAGGGTAAGTAGAAACAAATACTGCTCTCTTCCTCCCTTCTGAGCTGCAAGTCAGGACTTGCAGAAGAGTATTCAAAACACCAAAGACCCAGGGGGAGGAGTATTTTGCATCTCTGAACAACAACTTAGCAAACAAGTCTTTTGGTGCATAATAAGAATCCATCTCTCCTGTTCTCTAAGTTCTAATTGTTCAGGTTTAACAGAAGTGAAAATCATTTAACTCCCTTTTTGTCACTGAGAGAGAGAACTCCAAACTATGATTCTTAATATACATATGAAGCAGAACTGATGAACAAGATTGGGCTGTTGCTACATAAGGTATGCCTAAAATGCAGACCACATGGTGTAGAGATGTATAAGCTAGCTTTAAATGAGCTAGTATGGATACTAGTTTCAGTCTGTCTCTATGCTGATGTGATTTGGCTGCTTCAGATAGCCATTCTATGTCATGTATCTCCCCACTGCAGTGCAGTATTCACTATACACATACCTGGTACATACTGCACATTCACTTCAATGCGCATTAGCCTATTTTAATGTGCATTAAGGTGTCACTAAAAAAACTGTGCTATTTAGTTAATGCACATTAAGACAGGCTAATGCACATTTTCTTAGTACCTCAGGATGTCTGCACATGACCTGGGGAGGCTGATCCGACATGTTGCAATTACAGCATATTGTTGCAGACTGGAGTGTGGCAATTACCATGCTCCATCCAGCCTCCGCATCTTGTGTAACAGCATCCCAGCACTTCAAAATGATGGCAGGGGCACTTTAACTAAAGTTTGTTTGACGAGCTTTAGATAAAGTACCCCCAGCACCATTTTAAAGCATGGAGACACTGATACACAACATGCTCTGGACACTTTAATTAGAGTGGCTCTTGACTTTAATTAAAGTGTCCCCCACTCCCCGAGCACATATAAAAGTGTCCTCACAATGGAGGTACTAGACTTAATGCACATTAACTGAAGCACATTAATGCATGTGTAGACATACCCACTGTACACTAACTCCATTTTTAAGGGCCTGGGCCTGCTCCCCTCGCAGTCAGTGGTTTTTTTGTCATTGACTATAATGAGAGTTGGACTGAACCCTTTTTTCCCAACCTTCTTAATAATCCATGGACTGTAGTTTCCAGCAAAGGCTTTCATATGTGTTATCTTTGGCTTTGCTATAGGCATGTGAGCTGGGAGACTTTTGAAAGCACCTTTTTTAAGTTCATAGATACATAAATCCTGTGTTGTGTCCACTTTTAGCCATGTTAGCCATGGATAGAATCAGCTGAAACTACTCTTGCTTATCTTTTGTGTGCTTCTCACATAGGTGGTTCCACGTGGAGACAAACTATGACCACTGGACTAGCCCTCCTCCTTTTGATGATCGAAGGTAGGTTTAATTAGGAGCTGTACCTGGCCCTGGCCCCCTGAGCTATGAGTGGCTTCATATGCTGAGTGCGCAGCTACTCCAATTTCAGTGGTGTTGGTCAGAAGAAATAAGACTAGTGAAGGAGCAAAACTAAAAGATTCTAAAGGGATCACTGTCCAGAGCCTTTTGGCTGGAAGCCCAATGCATTATGTGATATCAGAAGGAAAATGGTGGCAAGGAAGCATTCTTGAACTTCAGAGTGACCGGGGAGGACTTTCTAACAGAAAAGAAACAAAAACAATAAAATATTGCTTTGGCAACCTACCAGTTCATCTGGCTATTTTATGCAAGATGGGAAAAGAGAACTGGTAGATTTAGCGCAATTTTATCCCCAGCCTATGTTAATGCCTCTCTCATACGACAGCATTTGCTTGTCAAATGACATTTTGTTCTTTTCCTGCAGAACTCCAGCCATCAGAGCACTTAATGCCACTGGGCAACATAATATTAATTTTGATACCCTCTTTCAGGTATTTCCTTTAAATCCTGCGTCCTACTGTCTGGGCTTGAACTCAAAGTTTGTCGCTTTGCAAAACTGTTAGAACGTTGTTTCAGAAATGTAATTGCGTTTTTAGCTGGACGTTGAGAGAGGACAAAAGCAGAGCATGGTGATGGAGATTAGTGAGTAAATGGCTCTCACTGGAGGCTTTCTATGATCATTATAAAGTTTGCATGAACCAGGAGCCAAAGTGTGCTGCTAGTTCATTGTGTGACTTTGGGCAAGTAACATGAGCCCCGTTTTCCAAATGTCCATTAATTCTGGGTGACTCAGGTTTTGGGTTCTTAAGCTGAGACATTAGAGACCCCTTTTCAGTTCCCATTGACCTGTTGACAAAGTGAATGTTCATCTTTTCAGAAGAGTAGGTTCAGAGTGAACATTCCAGACTAGTGGACGTCTGAAAACTTTACCTTTAATATTTGTACATTTAGCTCTTTTTTTGGCAATAATCCAGGAGCAGTGGGAGATGAGAATTGTAAATGTTGAATCATTATGGGCTTCGGCAATGAAGTGGACAAACAATGGTTTTATTTTTTGGCAGATATGATAGCATACAGTTTCTTATTACAAAAAGCAAAACTAATTTTAATGATGAACTGAAAATTGGCATGCCCTTCATGTTTGGACAAGCTCATATATCATGTAAAATGGGTACAAATGAAAAGGAAAAAATACCATATCAGTGTGTTTTAAATCTTTTGGTTTCAGGGGGGACCATTGGCAAAAAACTTTATTTGCCAAAAAGATACTTTATATGTTAAAGGTGATAAAAACTGTGTTTTGAGTTATGACATTTAGCACTTACATGGCATTTAGATCCAAGATTTAGTTTAATCTTTAGTTTTTGTGCATTAGTGGTAAAGGATTTTGGAAATGTGTGATGCCATAGTATCAAGGGACACCTTTCCAAACTAAAGTCCTCTCATTCAGAGTCGGTTCCCAATGGTTATACAGACCAGAATTACAGGCCTTGATACAGGACCTGTATCTAGAGAGGAGCCCCATTCCTTCTAGTTTTCTGTGAAAAGAGGCCATGTCTGCATGAGATGCTGACTGCACAGTAACCCAAGTTACTGCGCAGTAGCACCAATGAATAGCTTTTTTGTGATACTTTCCACTACTGTGCAGAAGTCTTGGGCTACTGCATAGTCAACCTCTTGTGTAGAGACGTGGCCAGGTGTCCTTAAATGAGGGACTTTGGAATAATACAATTGCATTCTGATTGCTGAATGAAGGGCTTACAAGGAACAGAGATGGCTAGCCTCTGCATAATTTCTTAGGTATGAGCCTAGTTATTTAAAAATTAAACATATTTGGAGAGTGGGGCTGATAGCTGAGGTCTGCTGTTAAATTCAGGAATTATGCAAAATTGTGCATTAGAAGAATAGGGCAATTTTTGGTTTTGTGGGATTTGTTTTAAATAACTTAATCCTTGTGCTCTATCTGCTCTATCTAAAGCACCTTTTACAAACTTTTAACCATCAGAATGACAAGTTTTTCCATGTTCTTGTACAGGTATTATCAGTGAAGCCAGTCTTAAATAAGTAAGTATTGTGCTTAGAAACATAGCCCACTACTCATGGCCATGCCTCAACCAATCAAGTGCTTCAGAAGATTTTCATTTAAATCTGACTGAATATGCGCAATATTCCATGATTAGCAAATTGCCCATCAAAAATGATGGGGGAAGGGGGGCCAGCAGGGACAGAGCCCTGTGTCCAGCCCTGCACCCCCCCACCCCCCGCTGCTTTGAGTCTGAACACGCTCCC